CAGAGAGGGCATTAAATTCTCAGCTCTTTCCCAGGTGGGATGTCCCAGAGTCTTGGTTGAACTTTTAAAAGCGAGCTTATGGCCTAAATGGTAGTAGTATATGTAGTATTCTGGTCCGCAAGATCTTTGGAATATTTATTGAAAACATGGGATACTTTTATTTTAAACAGTAAAATAAGTCTTATAACTGCACTTGCTACCTGGTAATAATGGATATGCATACTCAGTAATGTTTCTGCTGATTACTTTCACACATCATTTAAAGGGGATTTGAAAATATAAATCTGACACGCTACACCTTAGAGGTTAAAAATAACCTTTGGCTACATTGTAACCTGGAGCTCAATAACATCTGATCCTAAACCCACCTCTATCAATGAGATTCTTTGGCTCAAACCCTTGGATGAGCTTTCAGGCCTTTCATTGACTTCGGTGGGCTTTGGATCATACACGATTATATCTTGTCACTCCATAGATAAAACTTTTCCATGGGAAATATATGGGGAATTCTCTTTCACAGAGGATAGGTCAGGGGCCATAATTAAACAAAAGAGTCCATGTCATGGTGCACCACAGAGTAGTCCTGTTAGCACTGGTCTACACTAGTACTATATTTTGAAATAACCTTCCACACACACCCTCCAAGATCAAATGTATAGGTGGAGGGTCCATAGTACACGTCTGTTATTTCAAAATAACAGGCCATGGAATTCAAAATCTGTACTGCTTATCAGCAGGAGTAATGCTAATTCCAAACTGGGTATTTCTAAATAACAGTAGTGGGGACACTCTGGTGCCACTATTCTGAAATAATTACTCCCCAGAGTAATTCAAACTAATTACTTCCCAGTGCTTCCTGGTGGCTGTAAGTCTCAGGTAGTGCAACCACATTAACAGAGCCAGCCTCAGACTAATTTTGAGGTTTACCCGAAATGTGGACATGCTAGCTCAAATGTATTGAATTAGCGTAAAGTCAATTTTAGTAATTTAAAAATACTTTCCCAGTGTAGATATGGCCTTAGAGAGCTGGAGCAGATCAAGTGTCAGCATGTCAAGGGATCCGTGGCTGACTCTGAAGGCAAAATTTTCTTTCTCCTTGAATACCCCTCTCTAGGTGATCACACTAGAGGGGACAATCTGTTCCCTTGCATTTATCTCTATATAATGTTAGTTATTTGAGGCATATAATCTCAATACATAAAATTCTATAGCCAAAAGATTATGTATACTAATTGACTGGGTTATAAAATGGAAAAAAAAAAGTGAATATTTTCCCCTTGTTTTTCATAATTTTTTTGAAAATCTCCCATGAACTCTAGTATTGATATAGCTTGCCAAACTGCATCCTCCCAGGCATCATCCCCAAAATGCATTCATTTAATTGGAGTCAAATTCATGTCTATGATACTCTTAAGCAAAAATAATGGTAAATTATGAATATCTTAGCATATTTAAAATGCTTTCTTTATTATTTTCAAGATTTCTTTCCATTTTTCATAAAAGCAATACCTTTTCTTACCCCAAAAACCCAAACACTTCTTTTGTTGTCAGATATGTCTACACTTGCACCTTCTTTCAAGAGAGGGATACAAATGAAGACATTCGAAACTGCAAATGAAGCCGGGATTTAAATATCCTGTGCTTCATTTGCATATTCTCATTATCAGGGCTTGCCGAGCGGCGGCAAGCCCCGCTCGCCAGACGCACGCTTCTGCGCTCTGCGCATGCACAGATCGCTCTGCGCTGGCTCTTCCGGGGTGTATGGTGCTATTTCAAAATGACCCTTCTCTCAAAATAACTGGTAAACCTCATTATATGAGGAATAAGGGTTATTTTGAGGCAAGGCTTTTCTCTCGAAATAACCACATCTTAACAGCGTCTGTTATTTTGAAATAGCACTATTTCGAAATAGCGTCATAACGTGAATATGCAAATGAAGTGCGGAATATTTAAATCCCAGCTTCATTTGCAATTTTGAATATCTTCATTTGCATCCCTCTCTCAAAAGAGGGTGAAAGTGTAGACATACCCACATATGTCACCCAGTTCATGGAAACAATCCTGATTTGAATAGATTCTTGATCAGGCCCTTAATAATCTAAAATCTTTCAAATAAAATATCTGCAAGAGGCATGAGTAGCTAATTTACAGGTTCTCAAGCATTCCTGGCTAACCAACCTACTGAGAAAAATAGCCAGGGATTACAATGTTTAACATGAAGAATAAACCATTTATTTGAGTAGCTAGTTCATTTGATTTTGTTTGTTCCCCGATGCCTTCTATAAACTGTATATCATTATTATTAGTTACAGTTGTCTGACTATGGACTAGATGCCTATGGTATAATATATACTTATTTAACATTAAAGAAAAAACAGCCTTTTATTTAGAAAGAAGGAGCGCTTTTGGGGAATGGCAGCTGTTTGGATTTTCCTATTGGGGTCATCTCTGGATTTCACACGAGAACCTAGCATTGCACTTCAGTGTTGTTACTGTGCAATTAATTGTTTTAATTGAGGTGGCTTATTTTCTTTCTCTTTCTGATATTGCCTTGGTAGTCAAGTCTCAGTGCACATTGCTCTTATTCTGCAGCCTTTGATGTTCCGGTTTAGATAAAGTGAAATCAATTCCCACTGTGCCTAATTTTCAAAATAAGAACAAAACCAGTGCTCTGATGTCTGTGGCTTAATAGTGACTTGGGGGAATCACCACAGCAAGTCATGGAGGTCTGTGTGAAGCAACAAATCCCGTGCCCAGCATATAATTACACAAACAGCAACTTCCTGCATAGTAAAGCATAGCCACTACTTAGTTAAGGGAGGCATCCTTTTTCCTTACCTGAGAGGACTGCTGCTTACAGGAGTCCCAGTATGAGCCTCTGGGCTGGTAATGGCAAGGACACACATACAGTGATCAAGCCACGGGGTGGGGACTGCAGTGGTCACAACACAGAAGGCATTGTTAGAGTGAGTCCTAGATCTCTGTTGCAGGGTTTGTTACATGGATGTGGGGCAAAGTGACTTTTCCTCTCTATCTCCCCTTCTCCCCCCATTGCATAATTCTGGAACATTTTCTGAATATGGTAAGGGAACTGTAGAGACAAACATTCCTCGCAGTGGCACTGATGTGGACTGTGTTTGATTTTCCCAGTGCTTTGAATGTAGTTTTCAGCTGTCACATGTGCAGACAAACTGAAAAATGGCTTTAGAAAACGACCTAAAGCCAGGTCTGCATTCCCCCTAAAAACAGGGGGAATACAGGTGTCGGCAGTAAGAAGGAGCCCTACTTATTCCTCTCCTACCTTGAAAACGGAACCCAGGGCTGCGTCTCCATCGGCATGATTTTGCGCAAATACTTTTAACGCAAGAGTTTTTGCGTTACAAATATTTGCGCAAGAGAGCATCTATACTGGTCCGGGACTCATTGTAAGAACGATGCGCTTTTGCGCAAAAGCACGTCTACATTTGTGGGACGCTTTTGCGCAAAAGCAGAAGCCCAGAACCATTTTGAAGAGGGTAAAAGGGCACCAGCCGTTTCCGGGGGTGGGGGCCGGAGCTCCTTTGAGACACGTGCTTAAAGGGATCTCCCCGAACAGCCATTTCTCTCCTGCTGCGTGCTATAGGAACTCCTGCAGGGACTGACAGCCGTAGCAGTTCCATCTGTGGTTGCCCTCTGCCTTTTTGGACACCACTGCCTTGTGCCTTTAGTGCCTTTGGCTGACTTTTGTAGCTCAGCTTGTTTCTTGTGCCATGGAGCCAGGGGTGGCCATGTGCCTGCTCTGGCCTCTTTCGGCCATTTTGGAGTGCCTGCAGCTGCTGCTCCAGGCCATGTGAAAGCGGACATTCCTGGAGCTATGTGCCTGGCTTGCCCCTGTGCTCCAGAGAGCCACCACCCGGCTGCAGGCACCCATCCCAGTCGAGGAGAGGGTCGCCATCGCACTATGCAAGCTGGCCACCCTGGACAGCTACCAATCAGTGGCACACTAGTTTGGGGTGGGCAGATCGACCGTTGGTACCGTCGTCATGCAGGTAAGTCCCAGGGGGAGTGGGCGGGGGGGAGGGTGCTGCACTCCATGCCCAGGGGCAGGCAAGACTCTAGGCTGGGTCACCCAGGGGTTTGGTCCATCGCTCCCTTGCACAGTCCTGCTGGTGGGGGGGGGCCCATGGGGCGAGGAGGCCCTGGCGTGGTGTGTGTGTGAGGACAGAGGGCATCATGGGGGAGGAGGGCAAAGGGAGCATGCACTCACCCTGCCTTATGTGATGTGTTCCCCTGTGTTTCTCTGCACCCTTCTGCAGGTCGCCCATGCAATCAATTAGGTCCTGCTCCCGAGAGTCATCCGCCTGCGCGACTTGTAGGCTACAGTGGCCGGCTTCGCTGCCCTCGGGTTCCCCAACTGTGGGGGAACCCTGGATGCAACCCACATCCCCGTTCGGGACCCGGAGCATCGAGCGGCCCATTTTATAAACAGAAAGGGGTACTTCTCAATTGTACTCCAGGCCCTCATGGACCACCTTGGCCACTTCCTGGACATTTATGCAGGTTGGTCCGGCAGGGCACATGACGCCCACATCCTACTCAACTCTGGCCTGTTTGTCAGGCTGGAGGCGGGCACTTACTTCCCCCAGCGGGAATTTACTGTCGGGGATGTGCCCATGCCCACATGTGTTGTGGGGGATGCAGCCTACCCCCTGCTGCTCTGGCTAATGCGGCACTACACAGGGCAGCCGGACCACAACCGGGCCCAGTTTAATGACCGCCTCAATCGGGCCTGCAACCAAGTGGAGTGCACCTTCGGGCGTCTGAAAGCCCGGTTCCATTGTTTGCTCACCCATCAACTACTATTTTCCCCCCAAATCAATCAAATCTCAGTTTCCTACCTTCAAGTTTCATTTTTAGGACACTCCCATCTATCTCAATCTCACTGCAGTGCAGGCCTGGTGGAGTCCTGGGGAATTCCCTAAGGCTTTTATCATATATGGGTTTTCTCTTCTCCTTCCTCCTCTTCTCTGGCTCCTGGGTATGGCTTCCTTCTGTGTTGTCCTGATCAGGGAAGCAGATGGAAGCAAAGGAAGTGAGAAGGAAGAATGATGAAAACAGCTGCTAGCCACTTCTCAGCACTGATAAAAGCAATGACTATCAGCTGAAGAGCAAAATTTCAGAACATTTTATCTCCCCTCTGGCCTTTTTCAAGGCAAAAGCAGGGATCTGATATGGAGGATAGGCAAAACAATGAGGCCATATTTACACTACAGTTTGCTCAGGCATGTGCACACTTGGCTGCTTGTCTCAGTAATATATATCCTCATCATACATAATTGTGCTGATAGAAAATCTGGATAGCAATCCCATTGTGCCCCATGTTGCCACCCAGCACACCACCTTGTGGGATGTTTTTGTAGTGCTTTCTGGGATACCAGCAAATTTTTTCGGGGATTTCTGGGAACTAAGAGTTCAGTTCTCACAATCCCACTTTCTCCATTCTACAGTGCCTAGTCTATCCCATCATTTTCACACCATTTTAAACATTCCCACACTTCCACATGCTGATTTTCTTATAGGCTAAGGAAATTCAAGACTACAGTAAAACTCCAGTTGTCCGGCATCCAGTGGTCCGGCACTCCCGATAGTCCGGCACCACCTGGAACCGGAAGTGCTCCAGGAAGCCGGACAATTGGAGCTGCTCTGCCCCGGGCTTCCCCAAGTCAGCCGCTGGTCAGTTTCAGCAGCGGCTGACTTAGGGATGCCTGGGGCAGAGCAGCTGGGGTGCTGCCGGGTTGGTCCCGCAGCACCACCCCCCCATCCCTCGTGTTTCGCCCGCTGCTGAAACTGACCAGCAGCGGCTGAATTACACCTGGGGCAGAGCCGGACTATCGGCATGCGCCCCACCCCAGATCCTTCATAGCCCCCCCTTCCGATAGTCCAGCATATCTGATAATCCAGCACCCCCTGGGTCCTAAAGGTGCTGGATTATCGGAAGTTTACTGTATTTAGACAGGATCATGTCTAGGTGCAGCTCGCTGTCTCCACTAAGACAGCACAGATGAATGTTTGCAAAGGTGGCAGCCACTAAAAAAGAATTTAAGGAACATGCTGAGGGTTTTTTTTAATAGGTAAGCTTCCAGCATCTGTGATCCCTGGGGAGTTTCACAGCATCTACACTAGCACTGCATCAAAGGAAGCAGGTCAATTTAGGTTGTCCTAACTTTGTAGTCTGGACCAATAACAAGGATAAAATGGAAAGTGCTCATCAGTTTATGGACCCCCACTTTTTTAACAAGATGAAGTGCAATGTGCCCTCTTTTACTATCTCCCCTCCCCCCATTTCTCATATTTGAATCAGTTCCTGGTATATCCATAGGCAGTCTTTCAGAGACAGGCATATTGAAATGTAGTAGCTGGTAACAAAGTGGTAATAGGAGTTTTATTAGACTGCTCAGGTGTTGCCAGTTCCAGGAGTCAGTTTGGTTTCTATTTCAGGAGTTGCAGGTAGAATACATTGTTTAGGACTTTGCTCTAATAATCATCTTCCTATAGCTGATCCTCTGTTCCGCAATACTTCACATTCTTTACATTGGTACAGTTTCCTTTTAATGCAGTTTATTCAAAAATGAAAGAGAGATGCAAATCTGCCTAATCCAATGAAATTAAAAGCCTCAAATTCTGAGATTATTCATACCACTTCAACCTTCTTAACTATATCTTATTAGGTTTAAATTCTTCCTATTCAATCTCTGCAGCAAAGCTCCACCAGTTAATCTCAGTTTTCTTTTATCCTAAAACAAAAGTAAAGAAATAAGAGAGAGTGGAAAAATCAAAGAATCACTACCCTTCATCAAATGTGACTATCACAGCCAATGGCTTCTGTATATTGTACATGTCCACAAGATACAGGAAACTATTTACAGCCGTCAATTCATGGTTCAAAAATATATTGAACAACAAAGAATAGAAAACTCTTTCAAGAAATTATTTCTTATATATTCTTCCCAAGAGATTGGAAACCAAAGGTATTATTAGATATCAGCACTGAGCTATGTCATAACAACTAGCAAAAGGCTAGGGAAAGGAGTACCTTTTCATTTTATTTTTCTTCATTACAAGGAATTTCATCAAAGCAGAACTAAATAACTGTAAATCTGCTTGTTTAAAACTATATCTATGAACTAAAGTAAGAGACAAGAACTAACTCCAGGGAGATTTTCAATGAGAAAGAACAGATAGCTGGGTAAAATGGAAATGGATTTTACAAATGCCTGCCAGGATTTCTGGCATTAGTGATTTAAAATAGAGCATGAACAGAGAGTACTAAAGCACTGTGATTCATTTTTATTATAACTTTGAATGTGTAGCTACTACTAAATCCACCACTTGCATAATATATATCAGAATCAAATTATAAACTCCTTTTTGTATATTGTGTTTAACATAAAACATAGAAACACAGAATTGGAAGGAACCAAGAGAGGGCATATTCAAAGTCAACCTAGTGTCCTAAATGTAGATAGCTGCCTATGAAGAAATGTTATTTGATACTTCATTGGAGAACTAACACTAAAAGCCAGAAAAAAAGAAAATCTCATAGCATTGACTTGGAATGAGGTCCAGCTACCGGCCCATCCCGATCAAATAATGGACTTTCCACATGGGGAGGTTTAAAGATTGAGGTGACAAACATGAATGGGAGAGACTGCATGGAGCTTCCCAAGTTAAGAACAAGGCATCATACTTAAGGTGGGTTTTGCTCTATGCAGGGCCAAACATCACCACACACAGAGAAAGGACTTCCAAGAGGATGAATACAAGAGGCATTAATTATGCTTTGGCTCATAGAAAGAAAGGTATCAGATACTGGGGTTGGGGAACTAGTTTTTTAAGATCTATAATTCTACAATGCTTTATAAGTAGTTGCTGTGGTTAACAAATTCCTCTGATAAATCTGAATTCCTTGCTTTCCTACCTTATTGTATATGAAGGTATTAAAATGGAAGCCCAAAGTGCCTATAGCAGTACTGGTCAACCAAGGTTGGTGAATGGTCCATGTGAGTGACCCTCCTTCATCTCAATGGGCCACAAGATGGTCCTAACCAAGACGGCCTCCCATAATAGGCTGGGGGGGACCATCTAATATGAAAGGTGCCTCCTGGTGGAATCTCTCAGGCAGCAGGTGGGAGAGCTACAGGAGGAGGTGGCTTGGTTGAGGAGCATCCAAATCCACGAGCAATTCCTGGACAGTGTTCATGTGGAGACAGCTGAGGTAGCTGTCCCAGTAATCAAGACAGCTGACACACCACTAGTGGAGGAGGAGACGGCTCAGGGTGGACACTGGCAGCTGGTTACTTCTGGCAGCAGGCACTGCTCCACCCCTGCTCCGAACCCTCCTACCGTGGTACTAGGAAACGGTTATGCTCTTCTTGATACAGGAGATAAGGAATCATCCCATACAACAGAGGAGGAGAAGCCTCATACCCCCAAGGCTGGGAGGTCTGCTGCCACCACTGCGAATAGAAAATGTAGGGTTAGTGGTGCTCAGAGACTCTCTTCTGAAGGGGATGGAGGCGCCCATCTGTTGTCCTGACATGTCATCTCAGGAGGTATGCTACCTGCCGGGGGCCCATATCTGAGATGTTACGGAGGCACTGTGGAGGATTATCCAGCCCTCTGACTACTACCCCATGCTACTCATCCATGTGGACACTAATGATACTGCGAGGTGTGACACTGAGTGGATAAAGAGTGACTACATGGCTCTGGGGGTATGGGTGAAGGAGTTTGGAGCACAGGTAGTATTCTCTTTGATCCTTCCTGTCAAAGGTAGGGGCCCAGGCAGAAACAGGTGCATCCTGGAGATGAATGCCTGGCTGAGAAGATGGTGTCACAAGAGGGCTTTGGCTTCCTCGACCACGGGATGCTATTCCAGGAAGAACTGCTAAGCAGGGATGGGGTTCACCTTTCGAGGAAGGGGAAGACCGTATTTGGATAAAGACTGACTAACCTAGTGAGGAGGGCTTTAAACTAGGTTCGACGGGGACAAGTAACCAAAGCCCACATGTAAGTGAGGAACATGGAGCCCTGGGAGATGGGTCAGAAATGTGAGGGAGTGTGGGCTATAATGGAAGAGAGAAAGGAGAGACAAGGCAGAACTGAGAGGCAAGATCAAATCAGTATCTTAAATGCCTATATACAATGCAAGAAGTATGGGTAATAAGCAGGAAGAACTGCAAGTGCTAATAAATAAATACAACTATGACATCGTTGGCATCACAGAGACTTGGTAGAATAATACACATGATTGGAATATTGGTATAGAAGGGTACAGCTTACTCAGGAAGGACAGGTGGGGAAAAAAGGGAGAAGGTGTTGCATTACATATTAAAAACGTACACATTTGGACTGAGGTGGAAATGGACAGAGGAGACGGGCATGTTGAGAGTCTCTGGATTAGGCTAAAAGGGGTAAAAAACAAGGGTGATGTCATGATAAGGGTCTACGACCGGCCACCTACCCAGGCGGAAGAGGTGGATGAGGCTTTTTTTAAACAACTAACAAAATCATCCAAAGCACAGGATTTGGTGGTGATGAGGTACTTCAGCTATCCAGATATATGTTGGGAAACTAACACAGCATGGCACAGACTACCCAATAAGTTCTTGGACTGCGTTAAAGACAACTTTTTATTTCAGAAAGTTGAAAAAGCTACTGTGGGGGAAGCTGTTCTAGATTTGATTTTAACAAACAGGGAGGAACTGGTTGAGAATTTGGAAGTGGAAGGCAGCTTGGGTTAAAGTGATCATGAAATCATAGAGTTCACAATTCTAAGGAAAGGTAGAAGGGAGAACAGCAAAATAGAGACAATGGACTTCAGGAAGGTGGATTTTGGTAAGCTTAAAGAGCTGATAGGTAAGGTCCCATGGGAATCAAGACTAAGGGGGAAAAAAACTGAGGAGAGTTTGCAGTTTTTCAAACGGACATTATTAGGGACCCAAAAGCAAGCAATTCTGCTGCGTCAGAAAGATAGAAAATATGGAAAAAGACTGCCTTGG